GCTGAAAAAAAACCTAGAATTAAACAAAATGTTTATGGACTTTCTGTGCCCCTGTGTGTAAAATATATATAAAAAAAATTTAAAACTGAATAGTTATGAATGAATAATAAAAATAATAATAATAAAAATAATTTAATAATATAAAATACTAAAAGATAGGACCCGTGTCTAGTCCATTCCCTACCTGTACAGTAGCTGAAGAAAGATATAGAATTAAAAAAATAAATCTTTAATAACTGTGCTCTGTTGAATGGTTACATACATAGTTAGTCTGGCTGAAAAAAAAGATAAAAGTCCATCCAGTTCAACCATTCAAAAAAAAAAAAAAGTTATAATCCTACACCCACAGTTGATCCAGAGGAAGGCAAAAAACCCAGCAAAGCACGATCCAATTTGCTCCTGCAGGGAAAAAAATTCCTTATATGTAGAGATATCTCCAAAGTGAGGGAAATCTCCTCTTGAAGAGTTATTACAGGAAACCCCATTGAAGGATTTCTCTCTTTTCCTCTTCTGGTGACAACCCATAATCTTGGATTTTCTCTCTCTCTTTCAGTCCTGGTGACACTGGGACAAAAAGGTCCAAAATAAATCATATTTATTTATTTCAGGTACTTATATAGCACCATCAATTTACGCAGCACTTTACATATATATTGTACATTCACATCAGTCCCTAACCCTCAAGGGGCGTACAATCTAAGGTCCCTAACCCTCAAGGGGCGTACAATCTAAGGTCCCTAACCCTCAAGGGGCGTACAATCTAAGGTCCCTAACCCTCAAGGGGCGTACAATCTAAGGTCCCTAACCCTCAAGGGGCGTACAATCTAAGGTCCCTGACCCTCAAGGGGCGTACAATCTAAGGTCCCCAACCCTCAAGGGGCGTACAATCTAAGGTCCCCGACCCTCAAGGGGCGTGCAGCCTAAGGTCCCCGACCCTCAAGGGGCGTGCAGCCTAAGGTCCCCGACCCTCAAGGGGCGTGCAGCCTAAGGTCCCCGACCCTCAAGGGGCATGCAGCCTAAGGTCCCCGACCCTCAAGGGGCGTACAATCTAAGGTCCCCGACCCTCAAGGGGCGTACAATCTAAGGTCCCCGACCCTCAAGGGGGCGTACAAGCTAAGGTCCCCGACCCTCAAGGGGCGTACAATCTAAGGTCCCCGACCCTCAAGGGGCGTGCAGTCTAAGGTCCCCGACCCTCAAGGGGCGTGCAGTCTAAGGTCCCGACCCTCAAGGGGCATAGAATCTAAGGTCCCCGACCGACCTCAAGGGGCGTACGATCTAAGGTCCCCGACCCTCAAGGGGCGTACGATCTAAGGTCCCCGACCCTCAAGGGGCGTACGATCTAAGGTCCCCGACCCTCAAGGGGCGTACGATCTAAGGTCCCCGACCCTCAAGGGGCGTACGATCTAAGGTCCCCGACCCTCAAGGGGCGTACAATCTAAGGTCCCTGACCCTCAAGGGGCGTAGAATCTAAGGTCCCTAACTTACATTCATTCATACACATACTAGGGCCAACTTAGACAGGAGCCAATGGTGGGTTACACCAGTATATCTTTGGAGTGTGGAAGGAAACCGGAGTACCTAGAGGAAACCCACGCAGGCACATGGAGAATATGCAAACTCCAGGCAGGTGGTGCCATGGTTGGGATTCGAATCAATGACCCGAGTACTGCCGGGTGGAAATGCTAACCATTTAGCCACAAATCATATAAATTAAATATAAAAGAAAAGAAAAAAAAAAAGAAAAGAAAGAAAAAGAGAAAAAAAGGAACAAAAAGAAAAACCAGGAGGGTGAATATCCCCAGTAGGGACATATATAGATAAAAATCTAAAGAGTCCAAGCCCTGGACCTCTCCATCCAAAACTGAAAAAATGTTGTGGCTGTAGCTGTATTTTAAGTGAAATCGTCCCCTTTTTATGAGTGTTCTATAAAAATAAAACGTATGATCTAGAACAGCTCTAGAAGTCGTTCATCTGCCCCCTAAGGAACAAGAACATTCGTTCTCACCTGTTTTTCCCCGTAGGATTCCCTGTACGAGTTCCGCATGGTGGCCTTTGCTGGCGATTACATCAGCGAGCCGAGTAATTCGGTGAACATCTCTACGTCAGGTGAGTGGGTGGGGAGCCACGGCACAAGGTGTATACCGAAAGGGAACACGACCATATTTTACTTTCCTTTTGTTGTGAAAAGTAAGTTGATTACAGACCTCAGTAGCTCAAGATGAGATTTAACACATGATGGAATGATTGGGAACACTGACTTTTTTTTTTTGTACCCCCCTTCCTGTCCTGACCGGTACACCATTGGGTTTTTCGGGCACTATTACCCCCCGTTTTCCTGAGTGCTTCTTGAAACGATCACTCAGATACGAGTTTGTTTCTAAACACAAATTACAGCCAAAAAAAATGTGCCTGTGTAAACAGCAGCAGCATCTCGCCCCGGCTACAGTCAGGGAATTCGTTTCCGGTGAGTACGAAGATATTTTAAGTAAAACCCTCTATAAACTAACAATGGGTTTGTTATTGTGAGTCCAAAATCTCACACGGCAGGAGAGGAGATTTCTAAATTTGGAATTATTTTTACATTTGCGTTCATTGTGCAACACCAGGCGCTGAAAACCAATGTGAGGAGTGCAGCGGACTGGAATTGTATCCCCTACATTAAAATACCCCCCCCCCCCCCCCTTCCCCGACACTTAATCCTCCCTCCCCCACCTCCAAAACTTGCCCTCTCCCCTACTTCAAAACTTACCATCTCTCATCCCCCACCTCAACACTTACCCCCTCCCGTACCTCAAAACTTGCCCTCTATCCCCACCTCGAACCTTACCCCCTCGCCTACCTCAAAACTTGGCCTCTCATCCCCACCTCCACACTTACCCCCTCCCCTACTTCAAAACTTAGCCTCTCATCCCTAACTCAGAACTTGGCCTCTCATCCCCACCTCCACACTTACCCCCTCCCCTACTTCAAAACTTAGCCTCTCATCCCTAACTCAGAACTTGGCCTCTCATCCCCACCTCAATTCTTACCCCCTCCCCTACCTCAAAACTTGGCCTCTCCTGTCCCCACCTTGACCCTTCCTCCCTCCCCTACCTCAAAACTTGCCCTCTCCTATCACCAGCTCAAAACTCCCTCGTCCCCTTCCCCACCTCAACCCTTTCTATCTCCCCTACCTGAACATTTGGCAAAACTTGGCCTCTCTCATCCCCACCTCAATACTTACCCCCTCCCCTACCTCAAAACTTGGCCTTTCCTATCCCCACCTTGACCCTTCCTCCCTCCTCTACTTCAAAACTTGGCCTCTCCTATCCCCACCTTTACCCTTTCTCCCTCCACTACCTTAAAACTTGGCCTCTTTCATCCCCACCTTAACATTTACCCCCTCCCCTATCTCAAAACTTGCCCTCTCCTATCCCCACCTCAAAACTCTCCTCGTCCCTTTCCCCACCTCAACACTTGCTCCTCCCCTACCTCTAAACTTGGCCTCTCTCATCCCCACCTCAACCCTTCCTCCCTCCCCTATCTCAAAACTTGGCCTCTCTCATCCCCACCTCAACCCTTCCTCCCTCCCCTATCTCAAAACTTGGCCTCTCTCATCCCCACCTCAATACTTACCCCCTCCCCTATCTCAAAACTTGCCTTCTCCCATCCCCACCTCAAAACTTACTCCCATCCCCACCTCAAAACTTACTCCCATCCCCACCTCAAAACCTACCCCCTTCCCTACCTCTAAAAACTTGCCCCCTTCTAGATCCTACCTGAACACCTGCCCCAAAACTTGCCCCCTCCCTTCTCCACCTCAACACTGTCCCCTTCTCTTACCCAAAAACTTGCCCTCTCCTAACCCCACCTCAAAACTTGCCCCATTCCCATTCCCACCCCATTCTCTTTCCCCACCTTACCTCAACATTCACCCCTTCCCCAAAACACGTCCCCTCTCCTCCCCACCTCAAAACTTACCTCCACCTACCCCAACCTCAGCCCATAGTCTCTACTCCAAACCTTGCCTCTTTGACCCACCCCAACCCGACACCTACACCCTTAGTCCAATTTAGAAATGAGCAGCCTGGGACGACAACACTGCACAGATGTTCAGTCAGTGAGCATTGCTGCCCCCACCACCCACCACCAACCACCCCCCACCCAGGACTGGAAGTGACTTACTGGCAGTGTCGTCAGGTACAAATAAAGGAACAAAAGCCTTAGTGGAGCCACCACATCTATGGCAGGAAAGCTGCAATATATTTCTGTTAATATAAAGTTTACCTATCGTTTCCAGGAATGAAGGTCTACCCCGCGCACACGGAGCTCCCGGAGGTTCAGCAGAAATCCCTTATGGCCGGAGTCGTGGGAGGAGCCTGCTTCCTTACCCTGGCCGTCATCCTAAGCACCATAGTTGCCTGCGTGATGAACCGACGGCGGGTCAGACGTCGCCAGAAACGGAGGCAGCAAGGTACGCAGGATAGGTAGAGGTGAGGTGAACTCAGCAACCTGACATGGGATGGAAGCACAGGGGGGAGTGTGACAGCAAAGCATTCTGGGAGCATTTCCTAGTTAGGCTCCCGAAGTGTTATGGCCTACAGGGTCAAAGCAATGGAGCCTTAGATAAGATTTTCTCTATTTAACCGTCATGCCTCAAGGCGGGCTTTATTTTGATTGGAGGCCAAGAGAGAACTTTTTTCAGACACGGCGTCACCGACAGCTAGGTGGTCTCTGGTCATACGATGGTCCTTTAGCTAGAAGAGCCAAAATTACAAGTCAACAGTGTCTCCATATCAGTGTATAGAGAGGAATAATGACGTGCCTCGATCCTGCCAGCCAATCAGATTCCACTTCTCTTTCCAGCGAAGATTAGATAAAGGGAGACTCAGATTGGTTGGGGTTAATAACACAAATGGGTTCACTTTATTTATGTTTTTTCCCCCACATGAAGCCCAAAATTTGATGGATGGAGAGATATAGACTTGGCTAGATCCAGGATATAGAGAGTACATCCACTGATCCATGAGCCAATCTGATGCAGACAGTTGATGTAAGGGGGAACTCTGATGGGGACAGTGATGTAAGGGGGAACTCTGATGGGGAGAGTGATGTAAGGGGGAACTCTGATAGGGAGAGTGATGTAAGGGGGAACTCTGATAGGGAGAGTGATGTAAGGGGGAACTCTGATAGGGAGAGTGATGTAAGGGGGAACTCTGATAGGGAGAGTGATGTAAGGGGGAACTCGGGATAACATCATATGTAAGGGGACATTCTTGTGAGGAAAATTGATCTGCAAGGAGGGGCTCTATTAGGGACATCTGATGTAAGGGAGCATTCTGATGGGGACACCCGATGTAAGGGGGCACTCTGATGGGGACACCCGATGTAAGGGGGCACTCTGATGGGGACACCCGATGTAAGGGGGCACTCTGATGGGGACACCCGATGTAAGGGGGCACTCTGATGGGGACACCCGATGTAAGGGGGCACTCTGATGGGGACACCCGATGTAAGGGGGCACTCTGATGGGGACACCCGATGTAAGGGGGCACTCTGATGGGGACACCCGTTGTAAGGGGGCACTCTGATGGGGACACCCGATGTAAGGGGGCACTCTGATGGGGACACCCGATGTAAGGGGGCACTCTGATGGGGACACCCGATGTAAGGGGGCACTCTGATGGGGACACCCGATGTAAGGGGGCACTCTGATGGGGACACCCGATGTAAGGGGGCACTCTGATGGGGACACCCGATGTAAGGGGGCACTCTGATGGGGACACCCGTTGTAAGGGGGAACTCTGATGGGGACACCCGATGTAAGGGGGCACTCTGATAGGGATAACTGATCATATGTAAGGGGCCATTCTTATGGAGGACAATTAATGCAAGGAGGGGCCCTATTAGGGACACTGATGTAAGGGAGTACTCTAATGAAGGTACTCTGATGGGGACACCTAATGTAAGGGGCACTCTGATGGGGATAACTGATCATATGTATGGCATATATGGAGGGACTCTTTTAGGGACACTGATGTGGAAACCTGATATAAGGGGGCACACTGATGGGGACTCCTGATGTAAAGGGGGCACTTTTTTTTTCAATCGCCCTAATCTAATGACAATATAATGCAGAATAGTGTTTCCCAGGTCATGACACTGTATGACAGATTGTCAGTGACTCACACGCAGTGTTGACATTATGCCCCCTGACTTTTTTTTTTTTATTGCACCCCCAGATCAGATCCAGCCCTAATAGTTACCATTCCTTAATAATGATGATAATAATAAGAAAGAACAGTTTTTGATTTCTGCAAAGTTTTAGCATTATGGTAAACATTTTGTGTTAAGGGAATATTATTATTTAAGTGTTGGGGGTTAAATGGCAATTTAAAGTATCTCCATCATTGAAGGACACAGCTTGGTAATAAGCAGCCTAGTTTCGGTTAGTGTCCATTTCTCCAGTAGGTGGCAGTATAACTCTAGGTTGTTTATTACGAAGGCGTGTTCCTCTGGTGGAAAAGGATTTTACAATGAGTACAAAAATCCTAAATATCTCAATCACCCATTGAGGGACACAGATTTTTATTTATTTATTTTTTTTTAAGTCCGCAAACGTGCAAACTACAACGAAAAACCCGTAAGTGTTTCACACAAAAAGTGCAAGTGCAAAAACACCACACAAAAAGTGCACTTAGGGGTGTGCTTTGTCCTACCCCCGAAGGGGTTGGACCACTACCCTGATCCCCCGGGGCACGAAGCTCCTGACAGGGACAAGGTTCCCATTTGGTCCTCCTGGACAAAAGGCCTGGTGGACCACCGTTCCTTATGCCCAGCCGAAGCCGGACATCCAGTACTTGGTCAGGGGGCTCTCCCGAAGAGAAAACCCCCTAGGGACAGGGGAGGAAGGAACCAAAAGGCCACACATCCTCCCCCTAGACTTCAGGGCAGGCCCGAGGACCCACACCCTCCATCATGTGAAGAAAACACACACATAAGTAAAAGTGACAAACGTGGGAGTGTAAAAATAAATAAATAATTAAATAAATCTATAAAAATAATAAAAAAGTGGTCGTGCCCAAATTGTGCACTGACCAGGCCCTGAGGGACACAGATTAAGCACCCAAGGGCAATACTGCTGCCTACAGGAGAAATGGACACTGAGCAGAACTAAGTTGGGACATTACCACGCTGTTTCCCTCAATGGACTCAGAGAAAAGCATTTCATGGCGAGTACAAGATCTCAAGCGAGAGAAGATATTTATTAATTGAGGGAAGTCACCTCTTAGACAGTTGTCACCAGAATAGGTGTTGCCATTAGAAGAATTCCCCATATATTTCTGTTCTGGTGACAACTCAAAATTCTGGACCTCCTCCCATTAAATCCTAGTAACAACATTCATTAGGATGCAGTAAATAGGGTGAATATTCACAGACCACAATGGAAATCTTCATAAATATTTACAAAGCAGTAGAGGCACCACACCAATGACCACAGAGTCCTTACCTTTTAAATGAACCCAGTTATTGTTATGAAGTGTGGCCTGATTTGGGGTATACCATCCACACGCCAATTATGTACTTGTGGTGGTGAGTTCAAAGATATCGGAATAGAAAGGCATTAGATTATGTGAGGTGGGTGTGAGGAACAGGTAGGCAACATGGGGGGTCTAGATCAGCACTTTTTCTTTTTTTTTACGCCTGTTTTCCGTGCCAAAAGGAAAACAGATGCAGAGGGTTAGAACATCCAAAAGTGATATTTCTAAGGAAGACTCTGGTGGACCAGCTTTGTAGATGTCTGACCACCAGGAATGAGGTCTTTCTGTCATTGCACCTGAGTTTTAGGCCTTCCCACCCGCTTTAGGGTGTTCCTACTACTCCTGTTGCATTTCCCATATTATTGAGTAAATGAAAAAAAATTCAAGGAAGGTTGGGGGCCCCTAGTTGAGTCTACCAATGGTGCGTGTCGACCTTGGAACTTAGGTGAGAGATCTTGCAACCCAATAGATATTAAAAGTGTTCTATGGTGTAACTTTACAGCATCTACCAAAAAAGTGAAATAAGTTTAGAGTGGACCGCCTTGAAAAAAGGTTAATGATACCTAAAACAACACATTTAAATTTGTACGAAAAGCACATATAACCAAGAACATAAAGTTTCTTACTTGGGGTTCACAGTTTCAGAGGTCTTGGATGCCGACATATAACCTGAATGCCGTATTCCTCTTCCCTTCCATGGGTTCCTGGATTGAGTTCTCTACCAGACACATTTGTGATTTCCTAGAGAGACAATGGACTTCAGTTATGATGTACTCAAGTGAAGGGTTGTTGGTCTTGCCCATAGCATAGAAGCAATGAGCCAATCCTATTGGAATCCTCAAACAGCGTAGTAAGATTTTGATTGGTTACTACAGCCAAAACATACAGACATTGAATATCTTGGCCAACAATATCAACTATAGCTGTAGGAGAGAGAAGGGCATAGAAATCCTTGTATAATACTGACATGAGGTGTATTACGTGGCCAAGAGTATGTGGACACCCCTCTAAATTGCTGAGCCAGGTGTTTCCAGTGAAGAGAACTGTTATTATCCCAGCACAGGGGCGGACTGACCATTTGGAACTCAGGCACTGCCCGAGGGCCCAGGGTCAGTATGGGCCCCATGAGATGTCCCTGGTACCTTTTTCATAGGCTTTTTTGAGTTTGGGCAAGGACACGGGCCCCATGATCCCCTATTGCCCGGGGGCCCCATGAGTTGTCAGTCCGCCCCTGTCCCCAGCATGCAAATAAATTTTAGACCTGGGGTCCCCAACCTTTCTAAACAAAGCACCAATTTAATATCTGTCAGATTTTAGGAGGGCTGTACTGTGGCCAATGGGAGTAAAAAATTTCCTGGTGTTGGTAACAATGCCCCATTGTTGGTGTCAGTGTAAGGACTAGTGCCCTATCATTGGTGTCCGTGAGAGAAATAGTGCCCCATCATTGGTGTCTGTGAGAGAAATAGTGCCCCATCATTGGCGTTTGGGAGAAATAGTGCCCCATTCTTGGCGTCATCCTTGGCATCAATGGAAGTGTGCCCCATCAATGGTGTAAGTGGGAGAAATAGTGCCCCATCATTGGCGTTTGGGAGAAATAGTGCCCCATTCTTGGTGTCATCCTTGGCGTCAGTGGAAGTGTGCCCCATTGTTGGCTTCAGGGGAAGGAATAGTGCCCCATCATTGGTGTCAGTGGGAGAAATAGTGCCCCATCATTGGCGTTTGGGAGAAATAGTGCCCCATTCTTGGCGTCATCCTTGGCATCAATGGAAGTGTGCCCCATCAATGGTGTAAGTGGGAGAAATAGTGCCCCATCATTGGCGTTTGGGAGAAATAGTGCCCCATCCTTGGTGTCATCCTTGGCGTCAGTGGAAGTGTGCCCCATTGTTGGCTTCAGGGGAAGGAATAGTGCCCCATCATTGGTGTCAGTGGGAGAAATAGTGCCCCATCATTGGCGTTTGGGAGAAATAGTGCCCCATCCTTGGTGTCATCCTTGGCGTCAGTGGAATTGTGCCCCATTGTTGGCTTCAGGGGAAGGAATAGTGCCCCATCATTGGTGTCAGTGGGAGGAATAGTGCCCCGTCATTGGTATCAGTGGGAGGGGATAGTGCCCCATCATTGGTGACAGTGGGAGGAATAGTGCCCCGTCATTGGTGACAGTGGGAGGAATAGTGCCCCGTCATTGGTATCAGAGGGAGGGATAGTGCCCCATCATTGGTATCAGTGGGAGGAATAGTGCTCCATCATTGGTATCAGTGGGAGAATAGTGCCCCATCATTGGTATCAGTGGGAGGAATAGTGCCCCATCATTGGTGACAGTGGGAGGAATAGTGCCCCATCATTGGTATCAGTGGGGGGAATAGTGCCCCGTCATTGGTATCAGTGGGAGGAATAGTGTCCCATCATTGGTATCAGTGGGAGGAATAGTGCCCCATCATTGGTGTCAGTGGGAGGAATAGTGTCCCATCATTGGTGTCAGTGGGAGGAATAGTGTCCCATCATTGGTGTCAGTGGGAGGAATAGTGCCCCATCATTGGTGTCAGTGGGAGGAATGTGATCCATCATTGGTGTCAGTGGGAGGAATAGTGCCCCATCATTGGTGTCAGTGGGAGGAATAGTGCCCCAAGGGCCGGATAAAGGAGGGCAAAGGGCCATAGTTTGGAAATCACTGTTTTAGACAATTGTGCAATTCAATCCTTATGGGAAGAGCCTTTTTTGTTCTAGCACAAAGCCAGCTCCACAAAGATCTGGTTTGACCAGTTTGATCACTCAAATGACACCCAACACCTTTGGGATAAATTGTAATATCAAATGTGAGCTAGGTTTTCTTCTTCAACTTCAGTACCTGACCTCACAATTACTCTTTTGGCTAAAATCGGCACAAATTCCCACAAACACAACCTGAAATCTTGAGGAAAGCCTTCCCAGAAGAGTGGAGGTTGTTCAACAGCAAAACGGGCAATTTTATAATAATGCCCATGATTGTGTAAGGCAGTGGTTCTCAACCTGGGGGTCGAACGACCCTTTCACTGGGGTCCCCTAAGACCATCAGAAAACACATATTTCCGATGTGTAAAGAGCAGCTACTGTGTAGAAAGCAGCTGCTGTGTTGAAAGCAGCTACTCTGTTAAAAGCAGCTACTGTGTTGAAAGCAGCTACTCTGTTAAAAGCAGCTACTGTGTTGAAAGCAGCAGTGTTGGAGGTAAAACGACACTCATGAATTATAATTACTGGGTAAATAATTTTATGGTTGGGGGTCACCACAAACATGAGGAACTGTATTAAAGGGTCACGGCATTAGGAAGGTTGAGTACCACTGGTGTAAGGGGATGTCTGACAATCATATGATAACCAGGTGTCCACAAACATTTGGCCATAAAGTTTTTCAAAATGGGGTATCCCCTAAATGTCATGGACCTCATCTAAATCCCTTTTGGTCTTCAGACTAAATAGAGCACCATCCATGATTTCAAAGTTTGGAAGTCCTTCCTCAAGGGTATAGAACAACAAATGATGATGGGTGGGTCTAGATTGTATAAATTTGACAGCATAGTAAAGAAATGCCTATGGCATAGTATGGAGGTATAAAATGTCAGCATTGTCGTATTAAAAAGGAAACAACTAAGTATACCAAAAAAAAAAAACACCAGATATCTGGGCAGCGTGTCTAGACAGCTTAAAGTATGTGTCTAGCCAAAACTTTTTTGGGTTTTACATAAGGTGGGAAATTGGGAAAATCTCTGTTGGGCTTTTACTTCTAGAGAGATCTTCCCTGACTGTCCCAATGACAAAAGTTTCACCAGATAGAAAGTGAGTAAATCTTCCAAGAGCAACACAGAGAACGTAGGAAGACTAGAGGCCCGTCAAAGGTTCTAATCCTTCCCCAACCCATCAAAAACAGATCACCACTTTCATTTTGTCCTAATGCAATCAAAACATAAAAGAGTAGAGTCTAGATCATTAGCACAGCAAGACCCAAATACTTTGAGGCATTACAATCCTGAGGCTGGTGAATTGTCCCATCTTGGGGTATGTTGGGAAATGGGGGACCAGAAGACAAGCAAGGCACAAGGAGCGTCACAAGCAAATGTAACACAAGTTTTGTTAGCTTCCTTGGATTTAGGACTTGACTATGTCCTTCTCAGTCTACTCTAGAGAGATTCTAAAACAATCTATTTCCTTATAAAATATTGTGTATGACAACATGAAATACAGAATTATAATTTATCAAGAAAAAAATACATTTATTTAGTCATCCAAATATGTGAAGTATCCTATTGTTTTTCTGTCGTATACACACAATCTTTGCCTTCAAGGTTCCATTCCAGTCATTCCATCCATCCATGATCGTGATTCAGGACAGATGCATGACCACCGTAACCTGTTTTGTACCATTTGTCAGCTTAATTTTTGTTCTATATTGGAAGCTGTGGTCCACAATTCACTAACCTGTTTTTGTTTTCCCCTACAACATTGCTTTGGCTTGTTTATTCACCTTGCATGTTCCTGTCATGCCATCACAACGTGTAGGGGACTTCAGGAGACACGTCAAAGCCAAAATTCCAGTCGCTCTTCATGTAGATACTGTGGAGCCATCTTATACGATATGGCTGCCAATTGTATTGAGTACACCACAATGTTTTACGAGACTGGGGTATCTGAGATGGCTCCTGTAGCTCTACATGTCCCTTATTCCCACCTGGTAATTGAATGCTCTTAAAATGCAGGGCATGGAACAATTTAAAAAAGGAAAGCATGGGCTAAGGTTTACACAAGACCAAAACCTAAGAAGGCCATGTGTTGAGACCAAACTACTCAAAATCTGGCCAGCAAAGAATCCTGAGACTTTGGAAAAGCATTGACCTCATTCAAATGCTCACATGGGTCTTCTGATGACTGTTTCTTCTAGTCAAACTGACCAGACTGCTCCTATGTTGGAAAACAGATATTGTTTCAGAGTACATTTTCTTGGCAGTTGTACAGCAACCTGAGCATTCATGGAAGAACATTCATGGAGCATTAATGCTGGTAAATGCATAGGACGCTGTCCAAAAAATAGAAACCATGTCCTTCTCATTTGATACTGAGTCACGAGACTATAGCGAGGATGGCGTATCCCAACATGCATTGAACAAATCAAATAATATGGGGTAAAAAAAGATAAATTAAATTCTTTGAGGGTGCGATTAGTTACTAGTATGGTAACATGATACAGCAGTTGGTTAGTTTTAAGGTGCTGACCAACCAAAGTTTTGTTGTGGATTCAAAGCATTAGTGGGTCATGTCCAGCCTTTTAAAATTAGTGATGGAAATTGAGTTTCAAAAACCATGCCCTACATTTTGAAAGCCAATTATTTTTTTTTGCATTCTGAACTTGTCCAGCATGGCTTGTTAACAGTCACAAATAGTTTTTGGTGAAATCTGTGGCTTAGATACATGTTGACAATATGTAGGTCACTTAGCTAAGGTCACATTGGCTCGAGTTTTTTCTCCTCATCTGATCCCTGTTGTGTTCTCATAACCTTCCAGATGCACCAATGGTCTTCTCCCAACCCAAGAACGCTACTCCTTCACAGTAAGTGTCTTCATGCTCATACCGTCACTTCCTGTCTGTTCATTTCATGCAGTCTGTCCGTAGCTTTTAACATGATTTGTCTTGGCTCTATGTCTTTGGCTTTTAACCACCAATCGGCTCAAGGGCTTCAAAAGGTCTTTGCTCGAGGTAGACGTGTTGTGGTTGCTTATGGCTTCTGTACAGTTTCATGTCCTCATAGTCATACATTTTTGCCATGATCACACAAAACGTGAAAATTGATTTATGGTAGGAATATGGTAATTTGGAAAGCCATAGCTTTGAAGATTATTGAACCTTAACGCTACATTACTTGTTGGAAAGAGATCACATCCAAGTTATCTCTGTAGGTGGTTGGCCATGGAAAAAGAGTTACGCTACAAGACTGTTCTGTTCTAGCCCACACTTTTCATTAAATTGTCCTTGCAAATTGTCAAGAAAATGTGACTTCTGTCACAACTTAAATTATATAGTCATTCAGCTTAAGTTCATATTTGTAACATTATCTGTTTCTGACATGTAGAGGTGCAGGATTCATCAGGATTTGGCAAAATTTTGTTCTACTGTTTTCAAACAATTTTTGGTACTGCTAAATGTTTACATGGCTTTTTTTTCCCTCCTTTCTCAGAAATTCTAATGGTTCTAGCAGCCCCGACAGTCTCATGAGGCTCAAGCTTCATGTATCTCCGTATGAAAGCTTCCGGAAGTCTTTGCACTTGGGAGAGAGGACCGTGAACAAACCTAGGCGTTAGCCACGGAAGCAGCACAAGCGGCAAGTACACCATTTATGAGAGCCATATCGGAGACTGCTTGCCATTGGAGCGTATAAGTCGCGGGCCTGATGGACGTTTTTGTGGTAGAGACAGAGACGCGGCCAAAGAGGAGCAACATCAGAGGCTTTCCGTACGTGACCGAGACAGACCTCTATCCAGAATTCAATGCAAGGGACTCGTCAGATCTCAGCCAGTGTTCACAGGCCAAAACATACTTGCAGGTTTGTCCGTTACCAGAGAGAACTTCAGAGTCTTGGCGAGATGAAGTCAAGTTGAGACCGAAGGCCACTGGCCAGGCCCGTAAGGAAGCAAGAGATTCTGGGTATCGCCAAGGAAGGTACTTTGGATGTAGCAGTAGTCCGTTGGAAGAAGCCAAACCCTTCCGGATATCGGACATTAGTCCTGTCACATCTTCTGTCCCTCTGCCATACAGCCAGGTGGAGGAGGCACGCTGTAGTGATTCAGCTCAAATAGATGGAGATTTAGAAAGAACTATTTCAACTCTTCGGGAATCCGAACATGACTGTTTTTTCTTCCTTGAGCACAGTAGTTAGAGCACCTTCGTTACTCTTACAGAAACCTCTTGGACTTAGTGACCAAGGAAGCCAACTTAGGCATAGCCTGTCCACTCAAAGTGGCATCCTCCAGTATCTTAGTCTACCGTTCTTTAAAGAGATGAGCGTAGATGGAGACTGGCCAGTGGAGGATGAGTCGCAACCAAGGACATCAGAGCCCAGCTCTTCAGAGGCCGAGGAAAAGGAGAGTCCAAACCACAATCATCTGGACGATCGGACATTGATGAGTGTTGATGGAACTAGCGGGAGTCGTAAAGAAGAGTCCCCGTGCGCTCCTCAAAAACTGTTGCCTCTTGAGTATGTAAACTGTAGCCAAGAGCAGTCTGTGCCTGTCAAAACCTTTCTAAAACCCCCCCGAGCCCAACTTGGGACCTGCAAAGGCCGTCCTGCCTGGAAGTCTACTGTGGTCTCAACCTCCCGAGAACGCTGAGCGTTTTAAAGCTGGGCAGAGAGCACACTGGGGTCATGGACACATTCCCATGGACCACAGATTAGAACAGCATATCCCATCTCACTATCATTATCCTCTGAAGGACCAGCCACTCTCAGTGTTCACGGACTTTCTGGCCTTGGAAAAGCAGAGGCCGCCACTAGACAAATCTCTTTTTCTGCACGGCTCCGAGAAGGTGATGCGGAGCAGTCTCACCAGTCAGAGCAGCGGCAGAGGGAGTGTCTCCTTTCTCAGGCCCCCCTCATTGGCTCAGTCTGTGGGGGGCAGCTACCTCAATTCACCGTTGGGTGAAACATCTAGCTGGTACAGCGGAGGGGGGTCCCAGGGCTCCAGCGCAGAGGATTATCGGCACAGAAAGGACTCCTTGTTGGCCACTATAAGCAATAGGTGGGTGACCATCATGTACATGTGATTAAAATGCCTACAAAATCTATTAAAACATTTTTCTTACAGTGTATCTAAAGCTAAAACCTTTTTATTTTTGTTTTGGACCGAGCAGACAGGGGTCCTAAACCTTCATGGGTTTTTCTTGCTTTCTGTGTAAGAAAGCAAGAGATTTTCCCTCTCTGATTGACCTGATGACCATGTGATGGACTTGGTGGGAAAATTTAAAACATTGAGTTGTCACCAGAACAGGAACTGAATGGAAATGATCCATTAGGGACCAGGGTCGGACTGACAACTCATGGGGCCCCCGGGCAATAGGGGATCATGGGGCCCCTGTGTCCTTGCCCAAACTCAAAAAAGCCTATGAAAAAGGTACCAGGGGCATCTCATGGGGCCCCCTACTGACCCCGGGCCCTCGGGCAGTGCCCGAGTTTCCAAATGGTCAGTCCGCCCCTGTTCGGGACACTTGTTCCAGTGACAGCTTGATGAAGGCATTTCCTTGACTTTGGAAAGATTTACTCTAACTTTTTGTTTTGTCTATAGGACAGGAAATTAAGAGATTATGAAGTTAGGTGAATCCGATTCTATCAGTGGCTTTCAAACTTGTCATTTCTTTGTATTGTTTGTACTGAACTGCCAAGTAGGAAGTAGAATTTGAATGTATAATTACAATGGTTCTTCTTCGGTGTTTCTCGTATTTCAGTGAAAGTCAATGGACAGAGTTCTGTTGGTAGGCAGTCACTGAAAAATCATATAGTCTCCAAGTTGAGATCCTCGGTGTCCTCAGGCAAGACCCAAATTGTGGTTTGGACTCCATTCACTTTTTTTGGTTTCGATAGTATACAAATGTAAGAACCCCCTGTTCTGGTGACTGTTTTTGCAGAAAGATGGGAAATTCCAAAGAGTCACCAGTGGGGACACCTACTCTTGTGACAGTTAGGATGGGATTTCCCCTCACTTCCTGTTGTCTTTGAGAAATGGGACGTCATTGACGGAGTTATGGTCATATCACACTCAGGGGCGGACTGACCATTTGGAAACTCGGGCACTGCCCGAGGGCCCAGGGTCGGTAGGGGGCCCAATGAGATGCCCCCGGTACCTTTTTCATAGGCTTTTTTGAGTTTTGGCATGGACACGGGCCACATGATCCCCTATTGGCCGGGGGCCCCATGAGTTGTCAGTCCGCCCCTGATCACACTCTATTCATACTTGGACAGCTGGTCTATTAATGCACTGTAAATCCAACTTTGGTATTTCTACTGTCTTGGCTGTTTTGACTCAGTTGCTAAGTCCTGTTATCTGGAGCTAAGCATCACCTACTAACCTCCTTGTCCAGCGAGAGCACCCATGTTGGTCAACAAGTGGATTTACGTTGGCTGTTAAGCTTTTTATTGATCAGAGGGCCAGTAAAGGGGAAAGGGTTAGCTGTAGAGGGCAAGGCTTAGCCCCGTAGCCTGGAATGTTAAAGCCTAAGTAGAAACCTGGATCAAAGGGCCTACAGAAGAGACTTCTCATGCTAATAAAGGTATTGACAAACATCGTGCCTGCTTTTGGGCAGTTATTGATGGACGTACTGCTGATTTTTTTCCATTGGTCCAATCTCAGACTTTTGCTTTTCCAATGGATTTCCAAGCATGGCTCTTGCCCGCATGTCACAACCCATATTGGGGAACAGTGATGGAAGAACTGCAGGTTTTCCATTGGTCCAGTCTCTGGTGTCTTTTGCTTTTCAATGGATTTTCAAGCATTGTTCTTTCCTGCATGTCTCAACCCACATTGGGAAACCGTGATGGAAGAACTGCTGGTTTTCCATTGGTGCAATCTCATTCACTCTTTTGCTTTTTCCAATGGATTTTCAAGCATGTCACAACCCATATTGGGGAACTATGATGAAAGAACTGCTGGTTTTCCATTGGTGCAATTTCCGGTGCCTTCTGCTTTTCAATGGATTTTCAAGCATTGTTTTTGCCTGCATGTCTCAACCCACATTGGGAAACCCTGATGGAAGAACTGCTGGTTTTCCATTTGTCCAATCTCAGGAGCCTTCTGCTTTTCAATGGATTTCCAAGCATGGTCCTTGTCTGCTTGTCTCCACCCACATTGGGAAACCGTGATGGAAGAACTGCTGGTTTTCCATTGGTGCAATCTCATTTACCTCTTTTGCTTTTCCAATGGATTTCCAAGCATGGCTCTCTCCTGCATGTCCCAACCCACTTAGGGAAACAATGATAGAAGATCCTCTGGTTTTCCATTCTTCCAAAATGAGCATTTTGCCTTTCAATAGATTTCCAAGCAAGGTTCTTGCCTGCATGTCCCAACCCACTTAGGGAAACCGTGATGGAAGAACTGCTGGTTTTCCATTGGTCCAATCTCAGGAGCCTTTTGCTTTTCAATGGATTTTTCAAGCATCGTTCTTGCCTGCATGTCTCAACCACCATTGGGAAACCCTGATGGAAGAACTGCTGGTTTTGCATTTGTCCAATCTCAGGAGCCTTCTGCTTTTCAATGGATTTCCAAGCATGGTCCTTGTCTGCATGTCTCCACCCACATTGGGAAACCGTGTTGGAAGAACTGCTGTTTTTCCATTGGTGCAATCTCATTACCTCTTTTGCTTTTCCAATGGATTTCCAAGCATGGCTCTCTCCTGCATGTCCCAACCCACTTAAGGAAACAATGATAGAAGAACCTCTGGTTTTCCATTGGTCCAAGAGGAGCATTTTGCCTTTCAATAGATTTTCAAGCATGGTTCTTGCCTGCATGTCCCAACCCACTTAGGGAAACCGTGATGGAAGAACTGCTGGTTTCCCATTGGTCCAATCTCAGGAGCCTTCTGCTTTTCAATGGATTTCCAAGCATGGTCCTTGTCTGCTTGTCTCCACCCACATTGGGAAACCATGATGGAAGAACTGCTGGTTTTCCATTGGTGCAATCTCATTGCCTCTTTTGTTTTTCCAATGAATTTCCAAGCATGGCTCTCTCTCCTCCATGTCCCAACCCACTTAGGGAAACAATGATAGAAGAACCTCTGGTTGGTCCAATCTGAGGAGCCTTTTGCCTTTCAATAGATTTGCAAGCATGGTTCTTGCCCGTATGTCACAACCCATATTGGGAAACCATGATGGAAGAACTGCTGGTTTTCCATTGGTCCAATCTCAGGAGCCTTTTGCCTTTCAATAGATTTGCAAGCATGGTTCTTGCCTGCATGTCCCAACCCACTTAGGGAGACCATGATGGAACAACTGCTGGTTTTCCATTGGTCCAACCTCAGGAGCCTTTTGCTTTGGCTTTTTGCCTGCATGTCTTAACCCACGTTGAGAAAAAAGTAAAAAAAAAAATCTTACATCTCCTCAAGACTGTTAAACTGCTGATTGGCTGACCAGGAAATGGACCATTGATGGTCAGCTCTGGAAGATAAGGGCCCCCTGGGTGGGATCAATGCTCCACTCTTGTTTAGGAACAATCCCACGATAGCTGCCTATGGCAGATTACAGATCTCAGGGGTTAGCATACTCGAGAGTCAAAGGAGATCCAGGCCAAGCAGCGTTTGGATCAACCAAAGTCTTTTGAAGGACCTTTCAGCCAGTTCTTATTTATTGTTGGAGTTGCCCAGAGGTCCCACGCAGTCGGCTGATGCGGAAACAGCAGCTTGTAAATACATATTTATTTTTGCGGCCAAGTGCTTTCCAGATCTGAAGGAGTCTGGGACCATGCCATGTGTTTTCCAGGATTTCCAGATGGTTACGTATATTTACAAACCCAATAAACTGAGTCTATTGACTTTTTGAAGTTATTTGACTACAGATGTAAAAGAGATGGAAATCATTTGTTTCAAGTGTGTGCTTCTAGCCCTCCGTCCTGTGGAAAGGTTATATATAGACATTGGAGCAACCACATTGGCTGGTTGCATCACGGCTGGAAGTGAATTCCACGTTGGGATCGTGGTGCCCGGCCTAATGTGAACGCATGAAGCCAGGGGCGGACTGACAACTCATGGGGCCCCCGGGCAATAGGGGATCATGGGGCCCCTGTGTCCTTGCCCAAACTCAAAAAAGCCTATGAAAAAGGTACCATGGGCATATCATGGGGGTCCCCTACCAGGGGCGGACTGACAACTCATGGGGCCCCTGGGCAATAGGGGATCATGGGGCCCCTGTGTCCTTGCCCAAACTCAAAAAAGCCTATGAAAAAGGTACCAGGGGCATCTCATGGGGCCCCCTACTGACCCCGGGCCCTCGGGCAGTGCCCGAGTTTCCAAATGGTCAGTCCGCCCCTGCATAAAGCCCATCTTTAACCCCTCGCCCTCCAGAGGATTTACCCCCGTCCTGACCAGGCCATTTTTTTGCGATACGGCGCTGCGTTACTTTAACTGTCAATTGCGCGGTCATGCAACGCTCCACCCAAATGAAATTTACGTCCTCTTTTTTCCCACAAATAGAGATTTCTTTCGGTGATATTAGATCGCCTGTGCGGTTTTAATTTTTTGCGCTATAAATAAAAACAGACATACATTTTGGAGAAAAAAATAATATTTTTGAATTTTTGCTATTAAACATGTCCAGTGAAAAAAAAGAAAAAAAAAATTCATCATAAATTTAGGTCAAAATGTATTCTGCTCCGTGTCTTTGATAAAAAAAAAAAAAATCCCAATACATGGAAATTTTTTGGTTTACGTGAAAGTTATAGCGTCTACAAACGGCGGTATAGAAACTGGATTTTCCTTTTTTTTCCCCACAAGTTGAGCTTTTGTTCGGCGGTATTGAATCGCCTTTGTGGTTTTAATTTTTTTGTGCTATAAACAAAAAAAGACCGACAATTTTGAAATAAAAAACAACTATATTTTTTACTTTTTGCTATTAATTATATGCAGTGAAAAAATTAAAAAAAAAAAATCAAATTTCGTCAAATTTAGGCCAAAATGTATTTTGCTCCGTGTCTTCGCTAAAAAAAAAAATCCCAATCCATGGAAATTATTTGTAAACGCTAAAACTTTCACGTAAACCAAATGGCGGTATAGATAATGGATTTTTTTGAGGATTTACCCCCCACTTTCTGACTAGGCCATTTTTTTTGCGATACGGCGCTGCGTTACTTTAACTGTCAATTGCGCGGTCATGCAACGCTGCACCCAAATTAAATTTACGTCCTTTTTTCCCCCACAAATTGAGCTTTTGTTCGGCGGTATTTGATCGCCTGTACGGTTTTTAATTTTTTTTTTCGCTATAAACAAAAAAAGACCGTCAATTTCGAAATAAAAAAAAACTATATTTTTGACTTTTTAAAATTATATGCAGTGAAAAAAAAAAAAATCAAATTGTGGCCTGTACGGTTTTTAATTTTTTTTCGCTATAAACAAAAAAAAGGACCGTCAATTTCGAAATAAAAAACAACTATATTTTTGACTTTTTGATATTATATGCAGTGAAGAAAAAAAAAAAAAAAAATCAAATTGTGGCCAAAATGTATTCTGCTCCGTGTCTTTGATGAAAAAAAAAATCCCAAAACGTGGAAATTAATTGGTTTACATGAAAGTTACAGTGTTACAAATGGTGGTATAGATACTGGATTTTTTTGAGGATTTACCCCCCCCCCCTTTCTGACAGGCCATTTTTTTTGCGATACGGCGCTGTGTTACTTTAACTGACAATTGCACAGTCATGCAACACTCTACCAAAATGAAATTTACGTCCTTTTTTTCCCCACAAATAGAACTTCCTTTTGGTAGTATTAGATCGCCTCTGCTGTTTAATTTTTTTGCGCTATAAACAAAAAAACAGACTGACATCTTGGAGGAAAAAAAACAATATTTTTGAATTTTTGCTATTAAACATGTCCAGTAAAAATTAAAAAAAAAAAATCTAATTTCGGCATAAATTTTGGCCAAAATGTATTCTGCTCCGTGTCTTTGATTAAAAAAAAAAAATCCCAATACATGCAAATTATTTGGTTTACGTGACAGTTATAGCGTTTACAAACGGCGGTATAGATACTGGAATTTTTTTTTTTTTTTGTAAGAGTAATGGCAGCAATCAGCAACTTATAGCGGACTGTGGCGGGCAATCTGACACAGGTTGTGTCCTGGAGCTTCCTCCCGTCACCTTTTTTTTTTTTGAAAACTTGTCAGAAGTGACTCGTACAGATAGCAGAGGAAGGAGGCAGCAGACAGAAATGACACTCAGTGCTATGGATTGAGACAAACACACACTATAGAGGGATGTGCTTTGTTCATCTTAGAGGTTTACAACCTCTTTAAAGTGCCTGTGAATGTGAACGACAAACTTCTCTTTTTTTTTTTTTGGGTCTTTTAAAATATACAATTGAAATGCATTCTGTTTGAGAAGTGCAAACAAAAGCTTGCTAATCCTGCTAGGAAACCCAGTGAGCTTGTCATTTCCTGTGCCACGGCCTCATGTACCACGGCCTCAAGTATTACGGCCTCAAGTACCACGGCCTCATGTACTACGCCTCATGTACCATGGCCTCATGTACCACGGCCTCATGTACCACGGCCTCAAGTATTACGGCCTCAAGTACCACGGCCTCATGTACTACGCAATGTACCATGGCCTCATGTACCACGGCCTCATGTACCACCACGGCCTCATGTACCACGGGCCTATGGCCTCAAGTACCACGGCCTCATGTACTACGCCTCATGGCCATCATGTACCACGGCCTCATGTACCACGGCCTCAAGTATTATGGCTTCAATTACCACGGCCTCAATTACCACGGCCTCATGTACCATGGCCTCAGGTACCACGGCCTCATGGCCTTAAGTATTACGGCTTCAAGTACCACGGCCTCAATTACCACGGCCTCATGTACCATGGCCTCAACCACGGCCTTAAGTATTGGCCTCAATTACCACGGCCTCATGGCCTACCACGGCCTCATGTACCATGGCCTCAGGTACCACGGCCTAGGTACCACGGCTCAATGTACCACGGCCTCAAGTATTATGGCCTCAATTACCACGGCCTCATGTACCATGGCCTCATGTACCATGGCCTCAAGGTACCACGGCCTTAAGTATTACGGCCTCATGTACCACGGCCTCAAGTAACGGCCTCAGTACCACGGCCTCATGTACCACGGCCTCAAGTATTATGGCCTACGGCCTCAATTACAACGGCCTCATGTACTATGGCCTCATGTACTACGGCCTCAAGTATTACGGCCTCATGTACCACGGCCTCAAGTACTACGGCCTCATGTACCACGGCCTCATGTACTATGGCCTCATGTACCACGGAATCATGTACCACGGAATCATGTACCACGGACATGTACCACGGCCTCAATAGAGCAGCCTGCATTTTATGACTGCAAAAATGCAGGCTACAATATTGAGCAACGCTGCAGTGCAGAAGGCTAGGTTCACACCTACGCAGGTTGCGTTTGAGCTGTTTCCGCATTGCGCTTTCGACGCATTTCGCTTTTTTTTTTCTTTTTCCTTTTCTTGTTGCCAGGCAGATTTTAAATTCAAAAACGTACTGCATGTTTTTCTGCATCGTTCCCAATGAGGTCTACAGAACCAAAAACATTTTGCGTATAATAATAGTCGTCGCCCCGACCCTTTCCAAAAAAAAAAAAAAATGCAGCGGGTGAAAAACGCGGAGATGTGAACCCGTCCCATAGGAAATCATGTTACGTGGACTGTACTGCGTTTCTGGAAAACGCAGCGGAAAACACTTAGGTTACTCATGCCGTGGCAAAGACAAACGTTAGAGACTTGGCGGGAAAAAGTTTTGTTACCTTTTAAGAATATTGTAGTTTTCCTCAATCAATCAATCAATGTGATCACTGAGTATTGATCTGATATTCTTCTTTCTACAAGAAGGAACACATCCGTGGACGAGAATTACGAATGGGACTCGGAGTTCACCCTGGAAGCCGACCTCATGGATGCCCTTTCAGGTGTACCGCGGCGGTAATGGCGGCCAGCCCCTCTCCACCGTGGCTGCGGGCGAAGTGGAAAGACAAAGTGAGTGATGTTTTATCGCCCTTTTTTTTTGCTTGCGACGCACACGGCAGATGTAAAACCTGATCCTTTCAGCCTTCCTGCAACTTTTAGTGCCCGGTCATACCGCTGCGATGTCAGAAAATCGCACCAGAAATTGCATCTGGTGAACGTCAGTGTCTTAGCGTACGATTTGCTGCGGCGTGATTTCTAAAGTTTTTACTTTTTTTGCAGTTTATTGCGATTTCACATACACAGAATAGAATGGAAATCGCAAAGCAAGAAATCGTTGCAATTTCTGAAGACGTTATTGCGATTTCACATACATAGAATAGAATGGAAATCGCAAAGCAAGAAATCGTTGCAATTTCTGAAGACGTTATTGCGATTTTTGAAGATTTTCAGCGATTTCTTGCGATTATGCTTTGCGATTTCCATTCTATTCTATGAATGTGAAATCACAATGAACTGCAGAAAAAGTAAAAACTTTAGAAATCACGCCGCAGCAAATCGCACGTTAAGAAACTGACATTCACCAGGTGCAATTTCAGGTGCAATTTCTGAAGACATTATTGCGATTTCTGAAGATTTTCAGAGATTTCTTGCGATATGCTTTGCGATTTCCATTCTATTCTATGAATGTGAAATCGCAATAAACTGCAGAAAAGTAAAAACTTTAGAAATCACACCGCAGCAAATCGCATGTTAAGACACTGACATTCACTAGGTGCAATTTCAGGTGCAATTTGTGAAGACTTTATTGCGACTTGTAAAGATTTTCAACAATTTCTTGCGATTATGCTTTGCGATTTCCATTCTATTCTATGAATGTGAAATTGCAATAAACTGCAGAAAAAGTAAAAATTTTAGAAATCACGCCGCAGCAAATCGCACACTAAGACACTAACATTCACCAGATGAAAATCTTCACAAATCGCAATAAAGTCTTCAAAAAATTGCATCTGGTGAATGTTAGTGTCTTAACGTGCAATTTGCTGCGGCGTGATTTCTACAGTTTTTACTTTTTCTGCAGTTTATTGCGATTTCACATTCATAGAATAGAATGGAAATTGCAAAGCAAGAAAGCAAGAAATCGTTGCAATTTCTGAAGACATTGCGATTTCTGAAGATTTTCAGCGATTTCTTGCGATATGCTTTGCGATTTCCATTCTATTCTATGAATGTGAAATCGCAATAAACTGCAGAAAAGTAAAAACTTTAGAAATCACACCGCAGCAAATCGCATGTTAAGACACTGACATTCACTAGGTGCAATTTCAGGTGCAATTTGTGAAGACTTTATTGCGACTTGTAAAGATTTTCAACAATTTCTTGCGATTATGCTTTGCGATTTCCATTCTATTCTATGAATGTGAAATTGCAATAAACTGCAGAAAAAGTAAAAATTTTAGAAATCACGCCGCAGCAAATCGCACGCTAAGACACTAACATTCACCAGATGAAAATCTTCACAAATCGCAATAAAGTCTTCAAAAAATTGCATCTGGTGAATGTTAGTGTCTTGACGTGCAATTTGCTGCGGCGTGATTTCTACAGTTTTTACTTTTTCTGCAGTTTATTGCGATTTCACATTCATAGAATAGAATGGAAATTGCAAAGCAAGAAAGCAAGAAATCGTTGCAATTTCTGAAGACATTGCGATTTCTGAAGATTTTCAGCGATTTCTTGCGATATGCTTTGCGATTTCCATTCTATTCTATGAATGTGAAATCGCAATAAACTGCAGAAAAGTAAAAACTTTAGAAATCACACCGCAGCAAATCGCATGTTAAGACACTGACATTCACTAGGTGCAATTTCAGGTGCAATTTGTGAAGACTTTATTGCGACTTGTAAAGATTTTCAACAATTTCTTGCGATTATGCTTTGCGATTTCCATTCTATTCTATGAATGTGAAATTGCAATAAACTGCAGAAAAAGTAAAAAATTTTAGAAATCACGCCGCAGCAAATCGCACGCTAAGACACTAACATTCACCAGATGAAAATCTTCACAAATCGCAATAAAGTCTTCAAAAAATTGCATCTGGTGAATGTTAGTGTCTTAACGTGCAATTTGCTGCGGCGTGATTTCTACAGTTTTTACTTTTTCTGCAGTTTATTGCGATTTCACATTCATAGAATAGAATGGAAATTGCAAAGCAAGAAAGCAAGAAATCGTTGCAATTTCTGAAGACATTGCGATTTCTGAAGATTTTCAGCGATTTCTTGCGATATGCTTTGCGATTTCCATTCTATTTTATGAATGTGAAAATTTAATAAACTGCAGAAAAAGTAAAAACTTTAGAAATCACGCCGCAGCAAATCGCGCGTTAAGAAACTGACATTCACCAGATGCAATTTTTTAAAAACTTTATTGCGATTTGTGAAGATTTTCATCTTGTGAATGTCAGTGTCTTAACGTGCGATTTGCTGCAGAGTGATTTCTCTGAAGTCGCAATAAAGTCTTCAGAAAACACACCTGAAATTGCACCCAAAACGCACAATTTTAAAGCACATCGGTGTGACCGGTCACGGTTGCTCATACCGGTGCGATTTCAGGAGCGATTTGGGAATTGAAAATCGCATCTAGTGTATGTCAGTATCTTAACACGTGCGATTTGCTGCGGCGTAATTTCTAGAGTAGTTATTGCGTGACTTTTTCTGCAGTTTATTGCAAATTTCACATACATGGAACAGAATGGAAATTGCATTGCAAACTGCAAGAAAATCTTCACAAGTCGCTATACAGTCCTCAGAAATCGCACCCAAAATGCTCGGTATTAAATCGCAGCGGTGTGACCGGTGATGTAGTAGTGGCCGGCCAAACTGGTGCGATTTCAGGAGAGATTTTGGAATTAAAATCACATCTAAAAAAAAAAAAAAAAAAAAAAAACCCAATGGTATGGTATTACAATTTTGCTAACGCATGACAAAGTATGCGATGCAAAACTAAGCATTCAGGCGGTATGGTTTTTTGTTTTGTTTTTTTTGTTTGCATTGTTTGTTTGGTTTTTTTTTTTTTTTTTTTTGTTTTTTTGATTTTTTTTGGTTTTTTTTTTTTTTTTGATTTTTTTTTTTTTTTTTGAATTGTTTTTTTTTTTGTTTTGTTTTGTTTTGTTTTCTTTTTTTTTTGTTTGTGTTTTTGGTTTGTTTCTTTTGTTTTTTGTTTTTTTTACCTCCATCATTAACCCCTTGACGTCGAAGTCACACAAATATGCAGCCTCATGGAACTGGGCTTTTTCCCATGGGGCCGCATATTTGCGTACCGGCGCGCTCCCAGCGCAAAGACCGCGGTGTCACTGAGAGCCCCGGGTCCCGCTTCTAACGATCGGCACCCGATTCCGGGTCACATGATCTCTGTAATAGCCTCTGATTGCCTATCACAGTGATCAGTCACTGTGCAGCCCGGCCCCCTTGTTTTTTCTCTCGCTCTATGAATGGAGGAGAGAGATACATTGTATCTCTCTAATTCCTGGCATAGAGGGGAAAAAATGTGCAAAAAAGATAAATAACTATTAAAAAACTAAAATAAAAAAAAAAGAAAAAATACCTAGATCAAGATTTGTTCAGTGCCAGAGTTATTGTTTGGGTCAAGGACAGGGTCAAAGGTCAGGATTTTTAAAAAATCCAGACACAGTGGAACACTGATCATCGGACGGGACCTCTGTGTGAGGTCCAGGGGCGGACTGACAACTCATGGGGCCCTCGGGCAATAGGGGATCATGGGGCCCCTGTGTCCTCGCCCACACTCAAACCACACCCAAAAAAGCCTATGAAAGGTACCAGGGGCATTTCATGGGGCCCCCTACTGACCCTGGGCCCTCGGGCAGTGCGAAATCTGTGAATGATCACAGAGGTCACATGGTACAGGGCTATTCACAACAGCCTTGTACCATGTGACCAACCACAGCTCTCACAGTATTTCTCAATGGCTGCAAGAATGCAGCCAGAGAGAAGGAGAAATTATTGATTTACAGCCTTTATGGGTGTAAAAGCAATCAGTGTTAAAAAAAAAAAAAAAAAAAATCTTCATCACCCCCCACAAGTAGTACAGTGTCACCATGGTGACACTGTACTGCTAGGGTGATAGTATGTAAAAAAAAAAAAAAAAAAAACTAATGTAAAAAAATAAAATAAAAATGTAAAACAAATGTTTAAAATTATAATTTTTGGTTATAAACTAATTTGGGTTATTTATTTTTTTTACTAAAAAGATAACAGAATACATTTCGGCCAAGATTTATGATGAAATATTATTTATTTGCAAAATTTTATAAGAAAAACACTTTTTTTCAAAATTTTTGGACTTTTTCATTTATATAGCAAAAAAAAAATAAAAATCCCAGCGGTGAATAAATACTACCAAAATAAAGTTTTATCTGTCTCAAAAAAATGCAAAAAAATTCATATGGGTACAGTGTTGCATGACCGCGCAATTGTCATTCAAAGTGTGATGGCGCTGAAAGTTGAAAATTGGCCTGGACTGGAAGGGGGGCAAAATGTCTGGACGGGGCAAAATGTCCTGGAAGGGGGTGAAAGCGTCCGGACCGGAAGGGGGGTGAAAGCGCCCGGACCGGAAGGGGAGTGAAAGCGTCCGGACCGGAAGGGGGTGAAAGCGCCCGGACCGGAAGGGGAGTGAAAGCGCCCGGACCGGAAGGGGGTGAAAGCGCCCGGACCGGAAGGGGGGTGAAAGCGTCCGGACCGGAAGGGGGGTGAAAGCGCCGGACCGGAAGGGGGGTGAAAGCGTCCGGACCGGAAGGGGGGTGAAAGCGTCCGGACCGGAAGGGGGGGGGGTGACAAGCGTCCGGACCGGAAGGGGGGTGAAAGCGCCCGGACCGGAAGGGGGGTGAAAGCGCCCGGACCGGAAGGGGGGTGAAAGCGCCCGGACCGGAAGGGGGGTGAAAGCGCCCGGACCGAAGGGGGTGAAAGCGCCCGGACCGGAAGGGGGGTGAAAGCGTCCGGACCGGAAGGGGGGTGAAAGCGTCCGGACCGGAAGGGGGGTGAAAGCGCCCGGACCGGAA